GTTGTAGAGTGAATTTGATACTATTCAAAATTTTTATGTTAACTAGAAAAATTATTTTAGATCGAAAATGTATATATGTCTACACTGATTTTTAAAATTTTAACATTTTAAAGGCTAAAAGCTAACCAACCGTGCAGTAAACTTTTGCGAAAGTAAACAACTTGTGTTTCGCGCGCTCATATGACCTTAGCAGTTGCGAGCGCCGTAAAACCCCATACACATACCATACCAAAAGTTACTCCCACCCCAACCCCGGATGTTGTGAACTTGGTCAAGCAGTTCGAAATAGATTGTGTACTTTACTTGGTAAAGATACTTACTTTGCTACGTACTGAACTTCCACAGGGGTATTATCACGGGATTTCGAGAAAACAGCATGCTTCTATAATACCGTAATAATTCTGTTTACTGATGTTGATCGAAGATCGAAAGTCTGCATTTCGTTGGAAAAGTAGCAACAATTTTAAGGTTGCAAAGTAATACTGCTCATTTTCTACTCCTTTCTTTACAAATATTTTTCTAAGCCGAGAACCTTGCAATCTGCGCTTTCGTGTGTTCTAAAGGATTATTTGTTTGGTTGAAGTTAGTGCACCATACTTATAAATACATAAATATGTTATATTGCCGGTGGGCAAGGAAGAGAAGAGACTAAAATGTCGACCGACCTCATGGGCTCGAACCTCGACCTCATGTTCCTAACCTATACCTGGATCACTTGGAGGTGTCATCTCTGACTCAGGGGTTTACGAGTACTGACCCTCCATCCTTCACGGTCGTGAGGTGTCGTTGCACATTCAGCTATACCACATCCTATAACATCACAAAAATACGAGAGTGCAGTTTAAATAGGACATTCAGCAGTTCCAATAGACAAAGAAATGAGACATTATACTGAGTGTTATTCTTACCCGTCAGTGGTTCGTAAACTTCATCATCAAAGCAGGATACCACAGGTGTTGCTGTTGTGCTCAGTTTGTACCTTACAACGAATGTGGTTCTGGACGACCCCACTTCTCTCTTAGCAAAGAGTAAAGTAACGGGGCTTCTCACAGCTTCAGACCGTCTTAAAAGAGTCGCCAGTAAGTCAATTGTTTCTCCCTGGCTCTGGGCAGAATAATAATAATATTATGTGTGTCATTGTGGTGAACACAGGCGCTCGTCAATATATAATGAAATCGGAGAAACTGACATTTCTCCGACCTTCAGGGCATTTTCTATGAATTATAAAAAATCCTGACTCAGCAGCTTTCATATACATTCAGAAACTTAATATTTCTCTGACGAGTTTACTGAACAATGTTGATCAAAGGCACAGAAAATGCATATTTTGCAATTTCCAAGGACACTAAAGCTTTAAACATCATCTAACTTTGGTGGCCAATTTATCACTGATTTTTCCTCTGATACCAGGCGACACCCATCTCCTCCAATCGCAAATAAATATCTCAACTTCTACTTCTATTCAAGATATTATATGGGGTACATCTTTTTCATCAAAACAAGACAAATCGACAAACTTTACGATTGTACAAACAACTACATTTTCCTAATGATTGACGAGCGTGTCATTCCAATGAGTCGTGACACATATAGAATACGCACGCACGCACACACACACACACACTTGCACACACACTTACACACACACACACACACACATACGCATGAACACACGCACACACACACACGCAAAACACACACACACATACAAACGCACCCCCCCACACACACACACTACTCACGCACATACACACACACACACAAACACACACACACTTACACACACACGCACGCATGCACACACGCACACACACACGCAAGACACACACATACATACAAACGTACCCCACACACACACTACTCACGCACATACACAAACACACACAAACACACACACACACACACACACACACACACACACACACACACACACACACACACACACACACACACACCATTACATGACTTTCGCATTATATATTTTTGTTTTCGTTGGATCTGCATCGAATGTTTCTTGTCCCGACCTTTCAGATTCTGTTTCCAGGGCAAACTACAAAATGAGGTTGGTAACTGATCAAAAAGCGATCCTGCTTTTCGACGATTATACAAATGTTCGAAGCAGAAAAAAAAAGCCAATAATAAAATCAACCGCTTCAACATTTGGTTAAATTCAACCCCCCCCCCCTCCCCGTGTATACAAACACACAAAGGATAAATGAATTTTTTTTTAAACCGCGAGACTCTGTCAGAGAAAGCGCAGTCTCTCATGCAAGGTTGGCGTGAATGACCATCTCTCACCTGCAGGCTGGCGTCAATACCAAGTCCACACAATATCCCAAGACAGCTCGCCAGCATCATCATCGTCAGCCTTGTCACATCCGCCATCTTTACTTTCTGTCTTTGAACTAGAAGCGTTCGTCTTCAAAAGCTTGCATCTATGGTCTGAGTAGACTGTGCCATATACATATATCTTCTCTTTAAAAATGAAAACGTTTTAAAAAATTTAAAAACCTGTTCACGTAAACGTTTGATTGTGTCAGTAAAAAACACCACAGTATGGAATAGTATTAGCAGTAATAACAAAGATCCCAGATGAAACTTAATATAGTTGTTCGTTTACCAGCGAGCTATTCAGAGCAAGTCATGCAAGTACCTGTACTAGTATAAAGGCCTTGTAATAACATGACAAGACGCGTGTATTTTTCAGCTACAAAGCTGCTTACTTGCTCACGCTCATTTCGGCTGTCCTGTATCAATGGCAACTGTGGCAACTGCAGGGTTTCGGTGCTATGAATACTATGAAAGAAAGGGCTATAATGAACCGTCTACTCGAAAAATCCTACACACTTAAAAATAATCTATTGTCTGCGCTGGTGGCAGCTTCATGAATAGTTTCAGGCGTAGATCTACGAGTTCCTGATGAAAATGATGATTACCATAATGGAGCTGGCGGAATTTTAGTTGTCTACTAACCTTTCACGGAAATTCCACTAAGGCACTAAGGGGCAATAAGCCTGTTCCTGCAGCTGTAGCTTTATTACGTTATATCATCACACACCGGGACAGTGATTTAGACAATTGGACAGTGGTCTTAACCCTTTTGATACGACACGTTGTGCATTCCTTGGTATGTTTTTTTTATTTGTTGTTGTTGTTTGGGGTTTGGGGGGGGGGGGCAGTTTAAAAAAAATAATTTCTTAGTGAGTTTTGCGGCACTTGCAACAGAGACGGGATTTAAAAGAACCGGGTATTAACTGTGTCACTTGAGGGTAGCATAAAAAGAAAAGAAGAGAGATAAAACCGAATGAAATTTGGTAGGACAGAAGGAGCAAACCACACCAGAGAGAGCACCCACTAACATAAACAAGTGTACATGTTTTACTGCGCTCGCAACTGCATAAGGTCATATGAGCGCGCAGGACACATTTAAACATTTTCAGTTGGTGGGACATTTTGAATTTTGTTCAGGTGGCGGCCGAAGCCTTCTCTTATCGATTTTGGAACTCCAATGGATCTTTAACGAGCGCAACTTGCACAGGGACCTCCGAGATTATTCGCCCTGGTCCGAGAAGACTAGGTGTAGATATTTCCTTCCGTAAGATCAGGGGTGTGGCGGAAAGACAGCAGTAAGAAGGAGCCAGGGAGTAGCAGTAGAAAGAGTCAGGAGCCCAGAGGAGGGGGCAACGGAGCTGAGGGGTAGGGGCAGAAAATGGAGGCGAAAGCAGACAACAGAACATTGCTAGAGAGCAGGAAACGAGATGAAAGGAGACAATTGTTTAGGGAAGAAAATTTCTGTCGCTACCTGGATTGAACCCGGGACTTATTGAATGAGAGGCGAACACTTTACCCTCAAGGCTGCGAGAGCCCCCTCAGTTTTGGTAACTTCATAGTTAAAATCATTAAAACCGGACAATAAATTTAAAAAAGTTATCACGGTTCAAATTCATTCAAAACGTAGAAAATTCCACACAGCATGAAAAACAAGAAAAAAAAGCAACAATGCGGGTTTGCATACTCGACAGTAATAGGAAGAGAGATGAGTACCATGTTAAATAGAGTTGAAAGTGCTTATTTACTTTATACGATGTAGTCTTGTATTCTCTCCCCCCCCCCCCCCCCCCCCCAATCCATTTGCTAAAACGACTGTGCAATAACCATTGGCCAACCGCTTATTCAAAACTTTTATTTCTGTACCCCGATGGACATGCAGGGTTGCAGCCTGTCATTCACTAATGCCCTGTATCCTTTTGCAGCTGCGTGAACTGAGAGTAGATAGTTAAGGGCACTCGAATCTGTCCAAAACGACCATCCATTGTCAATGAGAAGAGTCGTCATCTCAGACAAATGATCCTCTTACACAATGTTGAAAAAAAAATGAAGGTGGAAACGAGAAGTGGTCCTTTATACAGGTGATTATTTTTCCTTGGACAGCTGGTCCTTAGAGCAGGTCCGACTATTTGTGTCTAGACGCGGTGGAATCAGGTGCTCGTCAGTTTTGGGCATATGAAATTATTGGCATCATCTTAAAGCTTGTTAATTTATCTTGCTTTTGGTGAAAAAATAGCCCTCTATCTTTAATAGAAGAAAAGATATTTGCGTTTGAAGGAGGTGGGGGTCGACTAGTGTCAGAAGTAAAATTAAAGGAGAAATGGCTACTTTAGTTTAGTGCATGACTTCTATAGATTGAGAGCCCTTGGAAACTGAAAAATTACGTTTTTTCGTGCCTTTAATCAATGTTTTTCAGTCTAATCCACACAGAAACGGGTTTCTAAATGGGCATAAAAGGTGTTGAGTGGGAGAAAACGAAAAAAAAAGTTCGATAAAAATTGCCCCCAAAAGTGACATCTCTTGGATTTCATTATTTTCCCGAGCGCCTGATTTCACCATGATGCAACAGATATTGTATATTTTCTTTTGCCTTTTCGACGGAGCAGGGACCTGATCCTCCTCCCACTCTGAAAAAAAAAAGGCAACGCTGAAAGCCTCCCTTGGCATGATTTGAAAGATTTAATATAATTATTTAAGGGGGCCCTCGTGGCCTAGAGGTTAAAGCGTTCACCTCTCATTCAATGGTCCCGGGTTCGAATCCAGATAGCAACGGTAACATTTCTTCTCTAAAATTTTCTCCTTTCACATCCTTTCCTGCCCTCTAAAAATGTTCTTTCGTCTGCTTTTATCTCCTCTTTCTGCCCTCACACCATCATGCACCTCCTCTGGGCTCTGGACTCTTTCTGCAGCCTTTCTACTACGACTCCTTGGCTCCTTCTTACTGCTGTCTGTCAGCCACACCCTTGATCTTGTCTTATGGTAGATAATAACCATATCTAGCCTCCTCATATAAGGACGAAAAATCTCGAAAGTTCCGTATGCAAGTTGTGCACGTTAAAGATCCCTTGGTGGTCCAAAATCGATAAGAGTAGGCTTCAGCCGCCACCCGCGCAAAATTTAAAATTTCATATAAACTGAAAATGTTTAATGGGTCCCGTGCGCTCATATGACCTTATGGAGTTGTGAGCGTCATAAAACACTTACCAAAAAATAAATATAAAAATTAAGAAGCAGGCAGCTTCGGCCCATCCTATCAGAGCCAGTCCCGTCGGCATGTGCGGTGTAGCGGTTAGGCGCCTCGTTGCTGCACACAGTAGACCCCGAGTTCGATTCTCAAGAAGGGATTACATTTTTTATCGAATATCTCAGTATTTCTGCTGGGATGTATCCTTCTCAGCCCAGGTTAGGCTGACCCAAACAGGCAGGGTGAGAGGCCCACCACCTAAATGATCTATTGTGTTGAAGGGGGCGTAAAATAACCAACATTAAAAAACAAACACAAAAAACCTCGGAGCAAGCGAGATACAAAATCTTTCCATAAAAACAGAATTGCTATATATATTTTTTTTAAACATGTATAAAATTACTAATGTCCTGTCTTGTGTGTGTAGTGAGTGCACCTAACGTTTGTAACATTCCATTGCCATTGTAAACGACCAAGACAAATACATTTCTCCCTGTGAGATGAAAATATTAAGACTGTCATTGTCATCATCAGATAAAGATCTCTATCCTTGAATTGAATCTGTGTCTTCCGCACGCCAGGCAAAGAGCTCAAGAATGACACAACAGAAATCGATGGGTTGGGTATCAATTTTTTAAAATCTTAGTTATGCCTCCTTCGTCTCATCTTATGCGTAATACTCAGAATCACAATGAGGTTGCATTTATCTATTTTAGGGAAAGTAAGTTTAGTTTTAGTAGAGGTTTTACGGCGCTCGCAACTGCACAAGGTCATATTATGAGCACCAGCAGAAGACTGGAGATGTTACAAGAGAGTAACAAACATAAAAAAGAAGAAGGGGAGATAAGGACGATAGATGTTTGGTAGGAAAGAAGAAGCAAACCACACCAGAGCACCCGCCAACCACCCACTTAGGGTAGGTAAGATAGAGTAATAAATCTTTGAGAAGAAACTGTTTATTATTCTTTAAAAGGTGCATCCGTCCTGTGTGCCCGTTCTGAAACCGTGTAATGTTTAAAATTTGAATAATTAAAGACAACTGGTCAGTCTAAGCTTGTTTTCTATGTACTGTACAAGCCTGCGTGTTTACGTTCACGTGTAATTCAGACCGACAGATCGGGAGACACACTTAGAGAGAGAGGGGGGGGGGGGGGGAGGGAGTCGACCCACAAATCAGTTAACGTGTCATTAAAAGTTTTTATTTGCATTAAATTATCTCATGGTCCAAGCTCGGTGAAAGTATAATCTTAATCTTCATTGCCAGGCGCTCTTTTCAGTGAATTAAGAGGGGACAGCTGAGATTAAGTTAATAAAAAAAAATGGGAATGCGTTTGATACAATGGTACAAGGGTCCTTTGAATAACTGGCCTGCTAAATCAAAGCAGAAGGAAAGGGAGAAATCTGCAACCTGCGTACACCCACAAGTTTAAAAACGAAGCGTTTAAATTATGTTCTGAATAATTTGTCAAACTCTTCTCTCTTAGACGTAGACTCAATGGCCATTGCAACATCTACAAAAGGGTCATTTTAATGCTTATTTCTTCTATACCTTTAGAAACATCTTCCCCTGCATGCAGAGACATTAGTCATCGTCGAGGCGTCGGTGGCCTATTGGTTTACTGTTGGACTCGCAACCGATAGGTCGTGAGTTTGAACCCCGTTAGGGTCCCGAAGTCGTGTCCTTGGGAAAGGCATTTTACCTGAATTTTCCTCACTCCACCCAGGTGGGATTGGGTTCTCGGTTAATAAAGCAGGGAAATATCTCGTCAGTTTGCGGCCATTGACCTTGGTCAGTTATGGGTGTGGTATTAAAGCTCTTTGTTTTACAAATCTCGGTTTATAGTCACTCAAACTCATTGCAGGCTTCTTTTTTCTTTGATTTTAAAACTTTGGCAACATAGTTGTCCCCTCTCAACCGACAGCCAAATAACCACCAACACAATCGATCCCACAACGTAAGCGACAATGAGCTGATCTCGAGGAGACAATCTCTGTGTTTGAAAAACACTTCCCTACCCTTCACACTCTTAAAGTACATGTATTTTTACATTTGTTCCTCGGGCACTCGAGCTTAATGGATTAAGACAAGGAAGTTCTTTTTAAAACACGAAAGCAAAAGCAACCAACATCCAAATATGCTAAAGGGAGGCCAAGTAGTAAAAAGCAAACAAAATGCTTATATGATACTAGCTGGGCCCCCTTTCGATGAAAGGAATGATCGGTGCTTTAGCATCAACTGAAAGTCATTGCCCTATTATAATTACACTCAACTGGAATGGAGCAATAAATCTTGAGAGATGCAAAACATTAGAAGATCCAGATATAGAGATGTATAGAATGATTCTCTATTCCGCTTTCGTGGTTGTACACTACAGAATTTAAGTGCGCACGGCAGGTGAACGGAAGCCTCACTTGTTT